ATGAGCAGCAGCAAAGGGCTGGGCCTGTCAGGCGGAGGCCTGGTGATTAATTGGTTCAGGGAACACAGCCAAGAGCAGGGGAGCACACCAGGCCGCCATCCGTTTGTCCATGCCCTGGGGTCAGAGCTGGAGCAAATGGAACCTTTTATAAAAGAGGAGAGGGTGGAATGTAGCCATCGGGGGAGTTCTGCAAGGAATTCACAGGTGTTTTCTTATTGTGCTCCCCCCTCTCTAGGGACCTCTGGGTGTGCGCTTAGCAATAGAGAGGAGGCCGGGGGGGTGGCTTGGCTGTGCTGCTTGGCGGTGCTCTGCACTCTTTCACACACTCCTCCCCAGCCCTGTGTTTTTTATGGGCTGCAGTGGTTTCTATTGAAATTGCAGAAGCCACATTTAAGTCCCAGGAGCTAGGACACTGGGAAACTTACTGGGTCTTCACCCAACTTCAACAGGTGAAAGTAGAGGGGCCCGTCACGAGGGCCACTCCAACCTGGACTGTGAAGCTGACCTCTTCATATTCTGTAAGTCACCACATCTTAGCAATTCTGAGATTTAGATTCCAGAGAAACTCAGCAAACTCTCTCTCCCAAGGAAAGACAGTTCCGGGGCTTGGTCCAGCCCACGCCTCACCATTGAACTACTCTGTGAGTGTGCTGGCCGTGGGTCGCATCAGCATCATTGTTGTGGAAACACAGCTGCACCAGGTCATTTTCCCCAACAGTTATTTGAATTATGAAATGATTGAAGCTTTGGGAACGTATAGGTTTTTCTTAAGATTTTTTAAAATTGATTTTTAGAGAGAGAGAGCGATCGATACTAGGTATTGAGCCCACAGTCTGGGCAGGAGCCCTGACCGGAATCGAACCAGCAACCTTTCAATGCATGGATGACTGAGCCACATGGGAAAGGTGGTGTTGTTTTCTAAGTAAAATAACAATCACTTTTAACCTCAAGCTTTAGAAAAACCAGAATTAATATTTTGGTGCCTTTTCTTCTGGACAGAGAAGGGAACAGTAGGCACCTTTCCTGTGTCCATAGTGTCTAGAAGCATGAAGTACAACCTTTGGGTCCATGAAAATCCCATCTCACTAGTAGGATTTATGAACGCAGAGTTCTGCCTTTCGTTGCCTGCAAAACCAGGTTCAGAAATATGGGAAGTCTTCCTCCTTCCTGTTTTCCCTCTGCCCTCCTCCTCATGACATCTCGGCTTCATCTTCTATCCTGCAAGCGGCCACTGCCACGTTCTTAGTAAGTGGCAGAGCATGAATCCTAACTCAGGCCCTCTAACCCGGAGCCCATTCCGGCAGGTTGCATTTTCCAAAGCTGGCAGCACCAATATAAGTCTCGTCTCACAGGGTTTCTTACCACCTCTGATGATCCTCCCCCACCAAGCAGTGGGGACCTGTGTTCTTCACCTTGAACCTGAGGGAACCCTTTTAACTGTCTGGACCAATACAATGTGCTGAATGTAACACTGTGGGATATTCAAGGCGAGATTGTAAAAGACAGTGCAAATTTTGCCTCGCGCTCTTTCTGTCTGAGACATTTCCCCTTAGAATCCAGACACCATGTTGCAAGAAAGCCCAGGCCTCGTGGACAGGCCTTGGGTGGTGTTCTGGCCAAGAGCCCCAGCCATCACACACGTGGGACGGGAGACAAACGGGCCTTTAGACGACTCCAGTGCCCGTCTTCCAGGCTCCCTCCGAGGCTCAGACCTCACAGAGCAGAGACAAGCTGTGCTCACTGTGCCCTGTCTGAACTCTGGACCTACAAAAACTATGAGTGATAACAAATGACTACCGCTGTTTGAAACCACTAAGTTTTCTTTAATTTGTCATTATTGATTTCAGAGAGGAAGAGAGGGGGGGAGAGAGACAGAAACATCAATGATCAGAGAGAACCATTGATCGGCCGCCTCCCACATGTCCCACACTGAGGATCGAGCCCGCAACCTGGGCATGTGCCCCGACTGGGAATCAAACAGTGACCTTCTGGTTCATGGGTCGACGCTCAACCACTGAGCCACGCCAGCCAGGCGAAACCACTGCGTTTTGAGGTGATTTGTTATGTAGCTAGAGTAACTGGAACATTGCTCTTCACTCTTACAACAGGGCTGGGATAAGCTCTCAGCAACTCTCCATCCCCACGTAACTCTGGCCGCTCTGCGACATCGCCACGCCTGAGTTGGCTATGAGAGAAATCCCGCATAGAGTTTTCTTGGTCCAACTTTATCAGGAGAATTATTCCCACTAAGCATTCTATTGTTGCTTAAATATTTGCATTTTCCTCCGCTTTTCATAAGTCTTTTGTTGGGGAATAAGAAAAGGCTGCCTCAGAACCTGCAAGCTAAATACCAGTTTAAGCCAGGTGTTAAATTGGCCTCTGAGGAAAGTTGTGGCCAGTCCTTCAAAAATAGTTGACTACAGAGTTACTCAGACCAGCACTGGTCTTTGTCCAAATGCGTTTGCTCAGTGATGAGATACTGTACAATAATTTTCTGGGGGGGGGGAAAGTAGAAATGTGCCTTGTACTAGAAATCTTACCATTTGATTATCTCTGTAACGCTCCTCTCTCAAAAAAGAACATGAAAGGAGTGGGGAATCAGAAAGCCAAGCGAGAAATGTAAAGACTAGGTGAGAAAAGGCTACTAGTGTAACGTTTGATTGCAGGAGAGATTCGGGTGTTGAAGATTTGCAAACTATGGCCTGCGGACTTGTCACCTAGAGCTTAGTTTTTCCCTCAGATATAAGCATGGCTCACTTTTTTTTTTTTTTTTTTTTTGTCCTTTGCTCAATTTCCTTGTAAAATGTCCAGAGGTGACAGATGGTTTGGTGGGGGGCAGTGGGGAGTAGAGATGGTACCAGGTAAGAGTTCACCACTTGCCCATCAACAAAAGGAAAATGCAGGTGCCTGGTTCACAAGGACTTTAATGCCCAAATAGGCACCTCTAGGTACACATCTATTTGTTTATGTTACAGTCCAGGTTGAAAGGGTGTATTTCTCAATACACTGCCTCCTGAAGTTCTGTGTGCATTCTATACATAGTTTACACTCCCATAGGCCATGGGGCTGGGAGGAAGAAAGAGAGGACAAATAAAGGAGGTGGGCAGGTCAAAATCAAACACATAAGTACCCTAATTTGATATTTTAAAATTAAATATTGCACAACTGTTTCATGGTCCCCCCCCCCAAAAAAAACAAAACAAAAACAAAACAGAAGGCACATGCATAATAAGATTATTTGAGGAGGTTTTATTTGCAAAAAGTGTACTTACAAAGAGTGGGTCTAGGGAACAGCAGGAGAGAAGTCCTCCCCACCATAACGTGAAGGGGGAAGAGGTTACTGGAACTGAAAAAAGAGAGAGTCAGACAGAACATCTGCCTTGAGAGAAGCCATGAGCATAGTTAAGGAATTCTCAAAGGGGGGCCAAAAGAGTTCATAGCCTTTTATCTGCTGGAACCTTCCATTGGCTACACCCACCTGGAAGCCAGGGGTCCAGTTGGCTATTGAACTGTCATAGAGATCAGCTGGTGGGGCAGACAGCGGAGCAGAGAGGGGTAGTGGATCTAGGGGCAAAAGGGACAGACCCAGCATACTTGTCACCCATAAATATAAAAGTTTCAAAATCAGAAAATGCTTGGTTGGACACAGTAAGGCCTAAAAAGTACATATCCAACTTTAAACCAAATACAGATTTTAGAAAGGCATTTACAAGAGCCTAAGGTTTATCACCCGTTTTCTTGCCTCAAATGTAATTGGGTGTGTAGCAATAAGCTCTATTCCTATTTGTCCCTATGTGGCTGGTCTTCACAGTAATAGCAGATACACATTAAACTCCTGGGCACCGTGCCTCAATAACTGATCCTTTTAATACTTAAGTTCAATAATGTCTCTCATCTGTTAGCCACACCCTTTCCCATGGCTAGGGGTAAAAGCTAGAATCTTCACAATGGCCTACCAGACCCTAGGTCAGCTCCTGGCTACTCCTCTGAACTTAGAGCTACTGCCCTTTCCTTTGCCTGCCAGACTTCAGCCAAAATGGTTCAAATCCAGCCATCATAATGGGCCACAGGACATTTGCACTTATTTTCATCATTCTTTCCCATATAGAAACATGACTCACTCCATCACATTTATGGATATACTAGAGGCCCAGTGCACAAAATTATGCACAGGTGGGGTCCTTAGGCCTGGCAGGCAATCAGGGTCGATCAGGGCCCGAAGGCCCCAGCAGGGTCTGGGGAGAAGGTGATGGTGGCTGGGCTGAGTGCAGAAGGAACAGACGCCAGATGCTGACGCTGCCCTCGATGACCCGTTTTTTTAGTTCCCCGCCTCCCCGCCCCTCCTTCCCTCAGTGCTGTGTGGCCACCAGGGGCCTGCTGGCTGAGGGAGGGGGAGGGGGAGGGGAAGAGGCCGGGGGAGGTTTCGATCCCCAGTTTGGAATGTGCAGGAGGCAGCCAATCAATGATTCTCTATCATCATTGATGTTTCTATCTCTATTTCCCTCTCCATAATCAATCAAATATATATTCTTAAAATGCAAGGTTTTTAGAGGAAGAAAGGTAGGGCAAGGGAGCTATTGA